AAAAAAAGGGGAAAAATCCAAAAAAAAAAAAAAAAAAAAAAAAAGAACGAAAGGAAGAAAGAAGGAAATCGTTTTAAAGATTGGAATGATCAAGCTGTCGTCACGTGTTCGTGTTCTACCGAATTATTTGCGTAATAATAATTCCAGAAAGCAACATTCGCCAAACAACCAAGGGGCGAGGAGGAAGAGTTTCTTAACTTGCCCGCCTACTGCACACGAAACGAAAGCGCGCATTAAAACAGAACGTGACACAAATTCCCCCGATGACTTCCGCAAACACGGGGCCATACACTTTCATGTTCCCCGTGTATGGTCACGCAAGCTATTCAATGCCAACCGTTATCAATCGCGGCGGTGTTCAAAGCACGTTGTTATTAATCTCGATCAGAACACTTCACACGTATGTATGTATGTATGTATGTAATGTACCTTCGAAAAAAAAGGGAACCAGCGAAAAAACTGGTTCACGAATCGGCTGACAAATTGACAATCAGACTCGTTACGTGGGCTTTGAGAAATACTTTGAAAGTGAAATGTAACTTCGATGCTAAATAGCTGTGCTATCTCTTCAGATGGCCGTGAACGATAAAAGTTGCGCGGAAACCAAGTTGCCAGGAATTTGAACAACGTTCGAAGGCCTCCGTGCAGGCGAAATATGCTATGGCAATGTTTCGTCTTACAATCGAAGTGCACGGATCCATCACAATCTTTATATTTTTACAGTTTATATTTTATATCTGATACATGACGATTTTGACTAATTTAGTATTGTGGTATCTTTCGATATCACCTTGTTTTAGTGTTTTTAATTTTATCTCGACACCTCGAGATACTTTAGGATTTCGGTAACTCGATGCTCGATACTGAAAGCTAGAATTAGAGCACCGAGAGATAAAAAAAAAAAAAAAAAAAAAAAAAACGAACGTGTTAGCTATGTCGCAGAACAGAAAGTGAAAAACAGCCAGTCGAGAGCGTTAAACAGAGGCAATTAATACGAGCCGCTAAAAATGTTAATTTGTCAATGCTAATAACTTATGATACTCAAGTGACGCATATTCCGGAACGTGTATATAGTCTTCACTATATATAGTGACATTTGGAAGACGAAACTGGCGATAAAAAAAACAGGTAGAATCGTTTCCTACAATCTATCTCTTGTGTCGAATAAAGTAATCAGATCCTTTACAATTACCATTTATGGTCGCTACTGTACACTAGAGTACAGGAAGAACAGATGTTTCGTGCGATACTCGTCACACAACTTTTCTTCTCTTCGAGGTTAGTGCATAAATATAAAGTTTATTAGATTTCGTCATGAATTTCGTCTCAGAAATAAAGCTAGATTCACAACGAATAGCTAAGTTCTCGAATTTTGAATCGCTCTGTATATCGCGTCTTTTCGTTCTCCTGGGTGAAAAAGTTCCACTACGCTCGATTATTGCAATATACAGATTACGACGATACGTTAAACAGAAGATGAATAACCTAGAATCGTGAATGAACCTTATCTCCCAAGTCTCGGAGGAAAAATCGCGGTTTCATCAACAGTAAGTGATTTCGTAACAGTCTACACACTCGCACACCGTTGCGACATTCGCCAATTGAATGAACGTGACTGTTGCACACGTTGAAAGGGAAACCGGCTACTTAGAATCGTTTAAAATTCCATCACGACGTCCACTTTTTCGAATACGAGGCGCATAAAAACGTCAAACTGAACGAATCCTGCGTTCGAACACGTTTCCTAACCTCTTCCTAACCGCGTTCCACCTTCGACATTGCGAACGTGTCCGACACAGTCAATATAAGAAAACAATCGGCAGCGATCGAATCTACGTAAAAAACTGAATAAAAAAGGTGGAGTAAAATTTTCCTCCAGAAACCACGGTTTTCGAGGAAATCGAGCTTAAAATCTGTGGCGTACCACCTTTTCGTCAATGACGTCACGACAAGATGGCGCAACTTTTCAACTGGGAAACATAACCTAAAACCTCGTTCAAAAGAATGTATTTCCAGCCTTTTTGCATCGATTTTTTCACGAGGAATCGCTCGGTATGCTTCTAGTTTTTATTTACGAGCTCTATTCGATGGAATTTCGACAAGTTGACGGCTAAAGCCGCAGTAATTGTCCGCAGAATTTCGGTTTTCAGCGGGAAAGCATATACCGAGATCCACGCGCCTGCATTTCGGTATCAATCACTCGAGTCACGAATGGCCGATGATTACATCGAAGGAAACAGTACCGTTACATAATTCGGATCTCGAAAAGAAGGCCCCTTTTACGTAACCGGTTGCAAATGGCAAGCGCAGCCACAAGTTGTTAATTGCACGCATGTAACACGACCAGCCGAACCAGAGCGTACCAACTAATAAACTCGAGCCACCGTGAAACATTGATTCATCGCTGTTTACGTTGTTGATGAACTCAGCGATGTATTCCTTTCTGAAAGATAGATGTAAAATAATCTACAGCGATTGGATAAAGATTGTAACCTTGTTAAAAACACTGAGCCAAGTTTCGTCATTTAATGTTGGCAATGTTGCTCGTTATTAAATATTCAAGATTGTATTTTCAAATGATATGATATATAATTTTAATTGAGTTTCCTTTCAGATTTTTACACCCACTAACTTTTAGATTTTTAAATAATAATAATTAAATTTTCTTTTTGCTGACTTTTAGACTTTTAGAATAATAATTAATTATTAAATAACTGTACAACATTAAGATAATATTGAGTTTTCTGTTTACTAACTTTTTAGACTTTTAGTACAACAATTAATATTATAACATTAATGTTATATAATTATTGAACAAACGAAAAATTGTTCCCTCGCCGATTAATTATTTTCACATTCAGAGACTCAGAAAAACCGGACACCAATTTGCGCAGCAATTATCCACACGTATGAACACACACACGATCCGCGTGGTGGTATGCGAGGGAGAAATGAGCGATCGTTTATTCCTTTCATCGTGCCGGTTGAAACACACGACGAAGATGAAGAGAATGTACGGATAGCACAATGTATCCACTCTCAAATTAATAAATCTCTCTCGTCTGTCGAGGAATATCGCCACGTGCGGGTACACGTGACTGTCAGACGCGTCCCTGGAGCAATTCGTGATAGCGAGTTGCTCAATCGGTTCCCGGTGGCTGGCACGTTTTCCACCACGAGGTCCACCGCGATGAAAGAAGCACGGTAATGAGACGTGCAATGCGTGCCCTGGAGACGCTGGACCGCAGATTTAATTCAGCTCTTGCGACAGGGGAACTTGCACCAAGATGTCCGACTCCATTTCGATGAAGGCAGCAGAGCATTTGCGAAATCGGCATCCGATAGTCTGATTTATTTTGTTCTAATTGTCGAAACTACGGATTCTCGTGCATTCTGATTAATTCCTCTAAACTAGTAAATCTGTCGACTTACTTTTGGAAGTGATTTACTTACTATTAGTATTGTAGTATTTTAGTACTGTTTTGGTAACTTGAGACCATAGTATCCTAGTATTTTAGCACTGTTTTGGTAACTTGAGACCATAGTATCCTAGTATTTTAGCACGGTTTTGGTAACTTGAGACCTTAGTATCTTAGTATTTTAGCACTGTTTTGGTAACTTGAGACCTTTATATCCTAGTACTTGAGTAACTTGATATCCCAGTAACCTGATATTGTAGCAACTTTATACTTGATACTTAATAAAGCTCTAGTATCATAATTTGCCTGCAAAGTTAGTAAATCTGACCCTTTTCTTTAAATATAAAATATAAAAATGCATAAACTATAAAATACACAAACTAAAAATATAAAACACCCAAAATACACGATACAATCATTGTAATATTCAATAAGCAAAACGGAATTCTGTTTCTTTCAAGTGAATAATTTGCATAAACATACGTTCGATCCAACGATGACAATCGTCGAAACGAACGGAGATAATAATTTCCGGCGATCAAGCCAGTGTCATTTGTTCCGCGATAAAAAGAAGAAAGTTCGTCAATCACCGGCAGGATACCAGGATTTTTTTCTTCTTCTTCTTGTTTTTGTTTTAACAGGCCACACCGACTTCTTCGTTGCGATTTCGCGAAATAACGACGCGGCAAAACAAGTGATACTCGAGTTCTTCGTAGCGTGAATAAATCGTGGTGTTCCTCCGTGAGATATCTCTTTCTTTCTTTCTTTCTTTCTTTCTTTCTTTCTCTTTCTCTCTCTCTTACTGGTCGAGGCCACGGCCAAGGAAACGTAGAAAAAGATCGATATTTCCTGTGTTCGAGAGCCAACGAACCGAATCGCGGGGAACACCTTAAGGACGGCGTGTCTTCCTCATCTCGACGTTCGAGGACGGTATAATCTGTAATCTTCGAAGACGTTGATCGGCTCGATCACTCTTCCTGGTTCGTGCATGTAAACTTCTGCGAGAACGAAGCCGTTAGTAGAAATTTGAA